GCTGAGCCTGCCGCTGCTGTTGCTGCTGACCACGGCCACGGCCGCGTTCGTCTGATAGTGCTGCGCTGTCGACGGCGTACCGCTAGGCCAGTGGAGACTGCCTCACTGGCGACGTCCCCCCGCGGGGAATGAACTCAGCGTATGGTGGCGAAGAGAGCGTGCATGTCTCTTCCGGCCCGGACAGAGATCTGAGAGACAGATATCAGAGGGACAGAGATCAGAGCTACAGATCGCGCCGCGTCATGTGAGTGCCTCGTTTCTTGCGGTAGTGTGACGGGCCTACGCGGGCATGACGCATGTCCGCACATTTCTGCACGAGACTGTGAGAAGGCGCCGCTCCCGACGTGCTGAAACTGTAAGGTGCCTGGAAATGGAAGGCACTGGGTTCAAGGACGCCGCAGAGTGTGAGGTATGGCCGGTGCACAGTCTTACTTCGTGATTAGAGTCCCACGCAGTCAACATTTTCTTGTGTATGTGTCAATATCCACCTTCACAGATGTGTTCAATGTTTTTGGGCTGCAGATACCCAAAATGGGATTATAAGCTGAGCATACGGGCTTGGGTCATACCGGGCTATTCTTGAGGCCTTTTTTAAACAAGTGGACCGAAATTGCTCAAACAGCTCGGCAACCCAGCTACTGATTTCATGTGCATAGATCATGTACTTAAGCGAAGCGTTCTATATGTGCATGTGCTGCTGTTGTATTTTGTGTCTGGCTTGTTTCTTACAAAAGCTGGATGTTATGAAATACATATGCACGAGATACTGCGATAATAAAGCTATTACCACAGATTTCAGGTCTGGTGATTGGGCTTCTAAAATCCATGTGATTCCAAGGTCATATTCTTTAAATTTCTGCGATTGCATTTGGTCGACACTGACCAAACGTGCAAGCTATTCAAATGCAGCGTTCCTTCGAACCCGGAAAAACAGGTTAGCTGGCATTCCGTCTGTCACATGCTGTTGAAAGGCCGGGGTTTAAATGTTATTGAGAGTATTCGCCTTTTCACATTAAATTCATTTTGTGATTTAGTTCGAAACCAGCAACGCAAAAGGTTTATCAACAATATACGTGCAACTGATCGGTAAAGGTTTACGCATGCCCTAACGCCAAACCGTTTTGTCCTTGGACCTACCACCGCGTATGGTGCAATAGCCGAGGTGCAACAAGGAGAGGCAAAAATGAAAATGCAAACAAATTTACGATTACCGCAAGGGCGGGAGCGAAGCCTGGCAAAACTGGTCGCTCGGAGCTGCAGGTTCCAGACTCTGAACTGAAACTGCGAAGACCAAGTCACGATCTGAGCTCTAGTGTTGCTGAAGGCCGAGTGGAACTTCCCAAAGCCTCACCAAGAAGTGCCAGTCTGGACAAAACGAAAAAGGGAGGGTGGCTAACGCCAGGACTAGGATTAGCTGACCCGTGCGATCAGTATGCGCTCAGGTGGTTAATCGACACCCCTTCTACACCGGCCCTGGCCGTTGGGCTACTCGGCGCGCTCCGGCTGGCCTGCTGAGGATGGGAGCGCCCTCGGCCAACACTGGCTTTTGGCCGCGAAGTGAAGGAGAGAGGTGAGTTGCGGTACGGCCATGCGGCCCTGGCCGGGGACCTCCGCTAACCAGCCTCACTCCGAGCATGGACCGTCTCTGTGGTTTGTGCGGGCGCTCGGGCGGGACTCTCGAGGATTTAGCGTTCGAGTGAAGCGATGAGTGAGCTTACAGGGGTGGCTGTCGGCGCAGCCTAACGCCTGTCTTTTAGACGCCAGTGTGCACATTCCATTGGTTGTTCCACCGGTGGTCGACAAGGCGCTGCTGTCTCCCGTGAGATGACCTCTCGTTGTACCCACCTCCTCCCCCTGCTGTTCGGTTTCCTTCTGGAGAACCTGGACAGCGGAGAGGAAAGGGGTGGGGGCGCGGGCGAGAGTTCGCTTTTGTTTTCTGGCTCGCCGGGCCCGCGGGGCCCGCCGTGTTCAAGTACCGAGAATGCATGTGTTCCATCGGATGCAAGAGATGCTCAGGCGAGGAACACCGTGCGTTGCCACCTAGGCTCCGGCCGTATTTCCTGTGGACAGTGGACATCGTGGCTTCAAATCGCAGGGGAGGCGACATGCTCCTGGACTGTTCGGAAAACAGCGGTGATGGTTTGAATGGGTCGGCCCAGAGAAGCGTTTTTTTTTATTTAGCTATCGCATGTTATTTCTATATTTTTGTGGTTATGTGTTGTGTCTCATTGTAGTTATATTGGTTTAACATTAGTTATAAACATTGGTCATCCTGTCAACATTCGACGTTTCAAGTTGCGTTTATGACCACAGCTTGAATTGTCAAGTACTGTCAATATGCCGAATGTTTGCTCTATAACCTCGTTTTACCAGCGCCTACTCGTAGAATGAAGTTCACTAACTAACATAACAAGTCTGAACTCATAATGCCGAGAACCAGGAGCTGAATGCCTTACTGACGCATATCAGGTCTCACCCTTTGCCACCATAGGTGGGGACCATTGGAAAACGAGGGCAGGGTGCGCTGGGTTATATTTCAAAAATTACAACCAACACGTAGATTTGGCGCTTGCTTCGCCGCAAACAGTGGCGTCCGTGACAATGTCCCTTTATTAAAAGGCCTTGGGCTTCTAGAGACAACACGACCACGCAGTGGTGCCCAAGCGTGCGATAACCACCAAAAATATTGCTCATAAACAAGCAAATCCCAAAACAGGTCGCAGCGTATCTCCGCTTACACGTGGAAACTCTGTGCACAGAACTGTGTGCTGTGCACCGGGTGGTGACCTGACAACGGAACGCACAAAGTCATCGCGGAGTGCGCCCATCCTGTTTGCGCCCGGGCTGTAATTGCCCCCTCCCCCTTCCCCATCCTCCCCCCCCCCTTCAACGGAACTCTGCGACACAGACTGGCGCACACCGGGCGCGTAACCCTACGTACAGGAGAGCACATGCGCACCAGCGCTTCGCAAATCAGACCCCTGCCAGAGGCTAGTCTCTGTGCTATAATTTTTGCGTGTCCGTTCGAAGACGGACATCGTGGTCTTGTTTACTGGAGCCTTGCATATATTACCCCTGTATTCTGTGAGAGCATTTTTTTCAATTTCAACAGGAATGCAACCAAATGAAGCATGAGTAAAATTATGTCATACAAGGACGATTGTGGGCTGTCACCCACCGATCTCCGTGAAGGTTGCGAACGGCTCAGCCCATGATGCTGCACGAAACACCGGCTCACCGATTATTTGTTTCCCGTGACCCGCCTGTTTCCCGTGACGTCATGATAATTAGCACATCACACCCAGTTCTCGTCAGGCATCCCGGCAGCCAGAGGTCGGGTCGTCCAGGGAATCTGGACGACTGCTCAGACTTTCTGACAGACTCTCCTACCTCTGACATGGAAGCTTGCCTGTTCTGTGGACTAGCGTCGGATCAGTGGACGGAAAACATGGCATGTGCAAGCCATCAGCTGAACTCGTTAATGTAGCCCGATGTTTATCGACCGGAAACGTATGTTCGTCGTACGTGACGATGCACCTGCCAACTCCAGGGCATCCATCTCTCCTTCCCCACCGTAATGAAAAATCGGGTGTGTTGGCTAAAAAAAAGCGTGTACTAAAAATCACGACAGCTGAGCGGATGCGCGACGTAATTAACTTAACGCACGTATAATCATAAGATACGTAAAGGTTTGACAAGTTAAACTGGATGCCTCTGGTGCACGGGGTTGACTCAAATTTTTCATGGTTAGTCTCGTCCCCATCTCCCACCACCAAAAATTCGTGCCGTCGCCGAATGCCGCTATGGAAGAGTGCTTTCAGCGCCCGAAAGCGATGTCTAAAGGGGCGCGTTTTCTTTCCGATCAGAAGGCGCACGTGCCTCCAGTGGCCTCCCGCTTTGGATCTGCCCCTGCATGACTTCTGTGATGCCTGAATAAATGACTTTCATAAATGAACCAACATTAAAAAGGTATACTGTCTTTTGTCAAGACAGAGTAAGCTAAATCAGTTGTGAAGAAATGAGGCAGGCCACCTTGTTGGGACCTCAGCAGCCCCCACCCCACCCCCCCACCCCCCATCCTCACCATCCTTTATAAAAAAATAACCACCTCCGCAACCAAGGATGGAACATCCAAGCTCAAGACAAGCCCCGAGCACTACAATGTCTGTGAGCTGTGGCACGAGCCCTTGGGTGTTGAATGCAAAGTGAATGGCCCAAAGCCGCAAGAAATTATTAAATTTGAGGAGTACTGCCCATGACTCAAAAAAATGCATAATCTCAATGAACAAATCTCATAACCTTTCACTGCAGCTTCGTCAGAAATCCCACACCGCGAAAGCATTACTCAGGATATTTTGCATTATTTCAATTTTATTAGACGCCAAGCACTGTCAACCACATCTCAGCAATCACACCCACAGGACCGTTGATTAACTGGCATACGCTCCTTGAAAGTCCTCAAGACTTATCGTGGTCCCATCCCGTCACCTTCGGTGCAGTGGACTCGCTGGAGTGTTCGGGCGCCAAAAAAAAAACACAGGGCAACCCCACACACCTCCCCTCACACCCACATGGCTGCTGCGCAGTCGCGAAGCGCTGTTCCGACGTCCGCCAGCAACCTATACGACGAAGGTGGGTCAGCCAGGATGTGAACATCTCGTGTTTTCGTCGACTGATCCGCCGCTGGCCCACAGAACAGGCAAGCCTCCATGTGGGAGGTTGGGTTTTATTCTCGGCTGACGCTTCGGCCCGTGAGCGCTGATACGACCATCGCGATACCGAGTGCTCCGAACAGTTGAAGCTCCAAACCGTGCTCCAGCGCTCAAAACTGCGTGGTGGTGGGGGCCGTGCAACCTTTAAAAGAAAAACGTCCGTGCAAGTCAGAGTGTCGCCGAAGAGCAATCAAAGCTTGTTCCCAATTTTCGTCCCGCTCCCGTCGCTCGTCCTGTCAAGTTCGTTCCTTTCCCGTCACTCGTCCTGTCAAGTTCGTCCCTCTCCCGTCGCTCGTCCTGTCAAGTTCGTTTCTTTCCCGTCACTCGTCCTGTCAAGTTCGTCCCTCTCCCGTCGCTCGTCCTGTCAAGTTCGTTTCTTTCCCGTCACTCGTCCTGTCAAGTTCGTCCCTCTCCCGTCGCCCGTCCTGCCAAGCTCGTTCTTTTCCCGTCTCTCATCCTGTCAAGTTCGTCCCTCTCCCGTCGCTCGTACTGCCAAGTTCGTGCCTCTCCCGTTACCGCTCTGTCAAGTTCGGACGAGTAAGAGGTCAGCCCTGGCGTAGCTCATCTTGCCTCGGATCGGCGCGCCGACCAGCGCCCGCCCCGCTGGCAGGCCCAGATGCTGTCGCGCGCGTCTAGAACACGTTGAGCTTGACCTGAGGTATGGCGTGTGAGCCGCAGTGCTGCCGTCGGTTGTAGGAGACGCATGGCTGCCATAGTGCCATCGGCTGCATCTTGTCCAGCTCCTTGACGTTGTCGCAGAGGATGCGCGCCCAGCTCGCCTTCTGGATCTCGCGCAATTGCTTATGCGAGAAGCTGTGTGGCTGGCCGCCGTTGTCGTAGAAGTATCTGCCGATGTGGGGGCGGTGAGAAGCGAGGGCAATGGCTGGTGAGGACGGACACAGGTACGTCCGCACAGACAGGCCTCCGGAAGCCGAGAACAGCCAAGGGAAACGGCTGTGGCAGCTGGCTCAGGCTCAAATGTAGCGTAGCGTACATGTCGGTCAGGCGCCGGTTCCGAATGCAGTGAAGCTGCAGTTTCATTATTGAAAGAGACGCCATCGCGAATCGCAAAATGCCCGCGCAAGGCGGTCCAGTAGACCAGCGGTGGTTAAATGCTCCCAAGTCCCTCAAGTGTTGGAGGTTGCCAAGCCCCAAAAGGCTCCCCAATCACCCTCACCTGTCTCCGTATCGCGTGTTGAAGAACTGCTCGCCGATGATGCACTGGAACACCTCGCCGACCAGGGCACCGGGCTTCCGCTTTTCGGACACACCGCCGATGAAGAGTTCGATGTCGTAGATGCTGTAGTAGACTGACTGCAGGCGTTGGAGCACATCCGGCTCGAAAAACGGCTTCAGCGCCGACCATGAGTTGGGCAACGACTGACGCAGGCAGTTCTGGAGCACAGTGACATAGCTCGGCAGGCCGTGATCTCGGCCACGGTTGATGTTCAGTGCGATTAGATCCAGGCCGAACGGCGCGCCCCTGGCGAAGAGCTTCTCGTGGATGGCGGGCACGAAGGTGCTGTCGACTAAGCGCGGCTTCTGGTCCGTCAGCGCGCGCGCGAACTGCGCCACGGCGCCCGGCGCTTCGATCAGGTTTGTGAGGAAAAATGTGTTTTCCAACGCCAAGGTCTCCGTGATTTTGCCCGTCTCGCTGCGGAGGACAAACGCGTCGTGCACCTGCGGAAGTGGAAGATGCGTGGGCAAGACGGCAGGTGAACGCAGAGTGTGGCGTCATGATGATGCGGCGTGCGCCGAACAAGCGATTCCTATAGGTTACCATTCCTGAACCTACGGAAGCAGATCGTGCAATTTCGGTTTCGGTGGTGAAGACTTTATACAATGATGTAATTTGGGCGTGTGGATACGAGCAAAAAAACAGTAACGAACAAATAAGCTGACTGCAACAATGCACTGCCAGGCTCACATCGCCCTGTATGCTCTTAGCCCGTTCATGCGGACGAACCATATAATTAACGATGTACCTCGCTCCTCCCCTTATTCTGAAGATAAGCCATTCTTATAATTTGATGTAGTTGTATAAAAACATCGCATGCAAGACGTAGATGTGTCGTATTAAGGCGTTTAAGACGAATCGCAGACACTGCATCCAGTCTAAGGGTAATGGTGACCAGTTTCAACATCAGTTACGGTGCGGCCTCAGACCTCAGGATGACGAACGCTGATGAGGAGCGCTGGCGAATACACGTCGGTGAAGTGCCTAGGCCGGGCACGAGCACCCAACACCTCCGCTAGCATCGGAAGGGGCCGACCAGTGACCAGGCGGCGCTCAAGACGAGCCCGTCTTGGGCGGACCACTGACCTGGGAGTGGCCGAAGCGGAAGGCGGCTGTGGAGAACTCGGTTTTGATGGTCGGATCCACCTGGTCCGAGTACTGGAATGAGGGGCCGTGCACGGGCTCCAGGCCGTGATCGCAAGTGTACTGAGTACCGAGCACGACCGGCAGGTACTCGTTGTATATGATGTGCTGGTACTCCCCGATGACTATGCGGCGCGCCTCCTGGAAGAGCCGCTCTTCGTCCCAGTCGTAGTGTTTCCGGGCCAGTGCCTTCGCTACGCGGTTATGCTCGCGCGTCCAAACCGTGTGCAAGAAGGTGAGGCCAGGATTCTCGCCGAGGCGGCCATCGCCTGAGATAAAGCTGCCATCCACCTGTGGCAGGAGGTCACCCCCGACTGGTGTTGAAGAGGCCACCGGTGAAGGCTCGCAGCCGGTTCGACTGCTGTATGCTGCTGCCGTAGATGTTGGAGGCGTCTAGGAAATGGGATGCCTGGTTCAGTTGGTTGACGGGACCGGCGACGCAATTCTCGAAGGGCGCCGGCAGCGAGCGCACGTGGTTCATGCACGTGCGACCGAACACCGAGAAAAAGGGGTCATCGTCGGGTATGCGGATTGGGTTACAGCCGACCGGGTGAACCGCCTTTGGCGGTACGAGCCTCCGCCGGCCGCAGCAAGACAGGCCGACGCTGCCGTTTAGCGTGAACACCGGCGTCGCGAGGAAGTCGTGGTCGATGAACTGGCCAAGCAGCATGACGGAGATGGTGCGCAGGTTGTCCGGGCGTGGTGAGGTGCTCACCACGCGCTCGCTGACCAGTCGGGGCGACGGCAGCTTCACGCCATGCCCGTCGCCGTCGGCTGGAAGATGCCGTCTTCGTACTCCGCCGGGAAGAAACGCGAGTAGGCTGACTGCGCGCACCCCAGCCGCGGACGCTGCAGGTTGTTGCACATGCCACTGAGGTTACGGTAGAGGTAAGTGAACCCGCAAGTTTCGGCCGGCTGCATGACCTCGCAGCCGGGGATCGTGACGGAGACGGGCGAGACGAGCTGGTTGAAGCTGGCGCGGTGCTGTATGCCGGCAATCAAACAGCGGGGCCTCAGTGCTTAACGGCTTGTAGCCCATGGCCTCCATCTTCTTCAGCTTGGTCAGCACCTGGATCGACTGCAGTGATGCCTGGGCCAACAGCATGGGCTCCGACGACTGCGGCGCGGAGAAGCGGTGCTGTATAGCTTCCGCCGAGCCCGCGATCGCCTCATTTATTCCCGTTTGAGCAAGTTGGCGCACTTCATTCGCTACAGTTTCCATCGTTATCATGGCCTCTTGCAGCACAGCTGCCGGCTGAAATGCAGGGGAGCCTTAGCCACTGGTGAGGGCGGCGACTGCTGACTCCGTGTGGCTGCCATAGCTATGGCCCGCGGCCACGAGAGGGGATCAAGAGAAAGAGGTTAATAACTATCTCCCGTTTAACGTCCGTGAATATGTTGCGAGCAGTATCAGGTGTAGGCACGACAAAGTCGCAGGACTATTGGAGCAATTCCTTTGACAAATCAAGGAAACAATCTTACGCTGAAACAGGTCACTGAGTCACGCCGTCATAGTTCATTCTTGCGCGGCATTTGTGCCTCTACTGCATGCAGACTGTTGCGGTTTCCTTCCCTATATGAATTGCTCATGATTTAAATTGCTGGCTGGCTTGGTCGGATGGGCTCAGTCATGCTGTGCGGGGAGACACCAGGTCACCATCAGAGTTCGTGTGAAGTCTACCTATAAGTGTTGAAACAAAATAATCTAACACTTTCGATTCGGTAGCGCTTATATATTTCCAAGCCAATGACTGCAAGTGGCATGTGAACTAAAGACCAGAGCAGGAAATTTGAATCAATGAACTGACCAAGCCTTGACCTGTATGGACTGGACATTGGCATTCATCACTAACATTACGGCATGGTTCTCAAACACAAGAGTGGGTTCTCTAATTTGGAGACGCTAACGGAAACGGAAATATCACAACCTATGCACAACCATCATTATGGTTCCTGGTGGGTGCTACAGGATTTCATGGGGGGGTGGGCCCACGGGTGAGAAGTACCCATATGAATTGGGTATTGGGTCAAGCTGAATATACGTCTAGGAGAAATCACAGGTATGGGTACGAGCATGACAGTTTGCGAAACATCGCGAAAGGCTCCAATTCAAAATACCCTGACATTGTGAACGCAATGGAGTAAGTTAGACTTTTCTGAAACTTTTTCATAATTTCAGGCTTAAGAACTATAAATTGCAAACGGGTGTGTAAATTCTGGCACATCTGATGGGAATGGTAGCGTGTGGGTTTTGACACATCCCCATGGGCGGCAGGTGAAATACGTAAGCGAAATGTTTACGCTTAAATACCTCTACTGGGCACGAAAACAGATCAAAGCAAAATGATCTGTGCTCCCTCCGCAGTGTTTTAGATATTACGTTGGATATTTTTTTAAGAGATTTGCATGAATATGATGTCATTGGTGGCGTGACCAGGTGTCACCTCATCGATTCTATGGTAACGATGGACAGGGAGTTTCCACTGCGTTTTGAATATTTCAAATTCGTTGACGAGATCTTGGATGCGATTGAGTTACTTTAAATCCGCAGGCGGCCGGAACGACCGAATATTGCGACCGGTATCGGATTAATGATCATGGGACATGAACATGCCCGTCGTCACCTGTCTTCTTTCTTACTCTGTGGTCCCCAAATTAATAGAACAATTAGGGGCAGATTGTAACACCAATGTAATGGTTCTAAAAATGCTCCCAATCAGACATGTACCGTGTGTAAGCTACAAAGTTAATGGCATTCCTTCATAACCCTTGGCACATTGTAGCTCAGTTAACCTCTTCGCTTTACGATCGGAAACCCACGTTTTGTTGCGGTTCTGAGATGTCAGCATGACTGGCAACCACGCCTGAACAGAGAGTTACGCTGTGCGAAACCCCTCCCCTGGTTGTGCTTTTGCTCGCACCATCAAATCTCCTTCTTCTTCTCGCCCTTCATGCGTAACGCACTTTATGGACGGCCACGAAGACCGGAGTGCCACGCACGCGTAGCGACAACTCCCTAAAAAAAAATTGGGCGAACTCCTCTGGTATGTTATCTTTTTTAAAACCGCTGTTTGTTTTAAGTCACCATGGGCGCAGCATTACAGCCTTGAAATTATTGAGGGTCCAGGCTTCCATAAAACTATACAGGGTGGCGACCTTGTGAGCACATCCCTCAGCAGCCAAACGAACCTCCACTTCGCTACTGATGACATACTCTTGCTGTGCTTTTAGTCGGTTCTTCAGGGGTTGCATGTCAAGCACTTTCCGGAAGACGCCGAAGGACCTTTCGGAATTGTTCTTCCAGAATGCCGCCACGTAATCTGGTCCTTCGAACCTGTTGTAAGTGATCACAAATGGTCAGTATTGGGCTCAAACCCAGCGGGCATCCTGCCGAGTCCCATGATCATGCAGGATGCCGCGTCATGCAGCATACCGTGTCATGCCTTGAGTGCTCAGCCAGGATACTGTGTCCAGCCTGGAGTGCTCAGCCAACGTGCTCAAGGCCCTGTAACAACGTGCTTTTTATAACAACGTGAACGTGCTTTTGTTTTTCGTATGCTTTCGCGTGCTTATGCCCGCCTTAGTGTTCCCGTCTTACGGGTGTTGAACGAATACTGACGGCAGATTCCGTTGTATGCGCAGTTTGTTCAGGATACAAATAGCGGTCTGCATACTACCAGCTTAATCTATAATTAAGCGATTGCAGTCTGGAACGATTTATTGTAACTATTTAACTGGGAGTATTGTAACAATTGGCCATGACCGTTTACTGGCGACCAAGCTTCTTTTTTCCGCGGATCAGCGCTTCCGCCAACTTCGAAAACACTAGTGGCTGATTTTGCTTCCGCTGAAAGTAAATCCGTTAGCTTATTCCGCTAAGGTTTTTTAAGAGTAAAATTACTCAAGTTCAGCGGTCGTAGATGTCGATACATGAAGGGTTCAAACGTGTTTTTATTTGCCTGCCGTGGTCATATCTGCAGCAGTCCGACACGCCGTTCGCTATTAACATGAAAACAAAAGACGTGATGGTCAAGGCAGCAGCAGCATTGTGTAAGTGTG